ATAAAATTATCTTAAGTAAATCGCCACTGAGAAATTAATGGAACTGAAGATTGACAAATCCCCAGGACCTGATGGTTTCCTTCCACAGATATTAGAGGAGGTAGCAGAGCGCATTACTGGTGCCCTAACCAGTAATGTGCTCAGAGCTCCTTGGATTCAGGACTTGTACCTCTGGATTGGAAATTTGCTCATGTCTTCACTCTTTAAGAAGGGTGACAGAGGGAAACCAGACAGCCTAACACCTGCGGTGGGGAATTCTTGGAGTCTACAATCAAGGTTAGGGTAACAGCTCACCTCAAAAAATTTGATTTAATCAGGGAGAGTTAGCATGGATTCATGAGGGATAGGCCACACCCGACAAGCCTCAAAGCTTTTTTTTTGAAGAGGTATCAAAGGGGAGGCAATGGTCTAGTGGTATTATTGCTGGACTGTTAATCCAGAGACCCAGGTAATGTTCTGGGGACCTGGGTTTGAATCCCACCATGGCAGATGGTGGAATTTGTCTGGAATTAAGAGTCTAGTGATGACCATGAATCCATTGTTGATTGTCGGAAAAAAGCATCTGGTTCACTAATGTCCTTTAGGGAAGGAAACTGCCATCCTTACCTGGTCTGGCCTATATCTGACTCCAGAGCCATAGCAATGTGGTTGACTCATAACTGCCCTGTGGGCAATAAATGCTGGCCTAGACAGCGATGCCCTCAGCCCCTGAATGAATAAAGAAAACAAAGGGTGGTCAACAGAGTTAAGTTGAAGGATGTTGTTTATATAGACTTCAAAACAATTTTTTTTGATGAAGTCCCACACAAGAGACTGTTAGCTAAGGTGGAAACCCATGAAATTGAGGGCAAATACTGACAAGAAAATGAAATTAGTTGAGTGGCAGGAAACAGAATTGGAATAATGGGTAAGTCCTGAAATTGCTAGGACATGAATAATGGCGTCCTGCAGGATCTGTGTTGGAATCTCAGTTATTCACGATGTTCATTAATGACTTGGATAATGGTATAGAATGTCAAATATCCAAATTTGCTGACAACACAAAATTGGGCAGCATTGTTGGCAGTGTTAATGACAGCACTAAATTACAACAGGATATTGATAAATTAGGTGATTTGGCAAAGCTCTGGCAGATGGATTTTTGTGAGCTTATCCATTTTGGACTGAAAAAGGATTGGGGTATATTTTTAGAAGGCACTAAATTAGATACAGTGCATGTCCAGCAAGATTTGGGGGTTCAGGTGCACAGCTCTTTAAAATACCATGAACAAGTGCAGAAAATAGTTGAGAAACCTGATGGAATCCTGGCCTTCATATCTAAAGGGCAGGAGAATAGGGATGCAAACATTATGCTGAAGTGAAACCAAACCCTAGTTAGACCCCACTTGTAATACTGTGAGAAGATCTAGGCACCAACCTTAGGAAGGATCTTTTGGCCCTGGAAGGAGTTCAGTGTAGGGAGGTGGGAGGAGTGAGGCTGGGACCCAGGGAGTTAGTGAGGAAAGAGATCAGTCTGAGACTGGTACAGTTGGAAAAGGACTAAGTCAAACAGACAGGACAGGCAAGAACAAAGTCGAGAATGAGGTAGGACTGATAAATTAAACTGCATTTATTTCAATGCAAGAGGCCTAACAGGTAAGGCAGATGAACTCAGGGCATGGTTAGGAACATGGGACAGGGATATCATAGCAATTACAGAGACGTGGCTCAGGGATGGACAGGACGAGCAGCTTACTGTTCCAGCATATAGATGCTATAGGAAGGATTGAAAGGATGGGTAAGAGAGGAGAGGGAGTGGCGTTTTGATTAGGAATAACATTACGGCTGTACTTAAGGAGGGGGAATATGTCCAGTGAAGTTATTTGTGTGGAACTGAAAAATAAGAAAGGCATGATCACTTTATTGGAATTGTCCTATAGATTCCCCAATAGTCCGTGGGAAATTGAGGAAACAAATTTGGAAATAGATCTCAGTTATCTGCATGAATATAAAAGGGTGGTTATAGTCGGGGATTTTAACTTTCCAAACATAGACTGGGACTATCATAGTGTTAAGGGTTTGGATGGAGAGAATTTAAGTATGTACATGAAAATTTTCTGATTCAGAGTGTGGATGTACCTACTAGAGAAGGTGCAAAACTTGACCTTCTCTTGGGAACTAAGATAGGGCAGGTGACTGAGGTTTCAGTGGGAGAGCACATTGGGGCCAGTGATCATAATTCTATTAATTTTAAAGTAGTGATGGAGAAGGATAGATCTGATCTAAAAGTTTAAGTTCTAAATTGGAGGAAGGCCAATTTTGATGGTATTAGACAAGACCTTTCAAAAGTTGATTCAGGGCAGATGTTTGCAGGTAAAGGGACAGATGGAAAATGGAAGCCTTCAAAAATGAGATAACCAGAGTCCAGAGACAGTATGTTCCTGTTAGGGTGCAGAGCAAGACTGGTAAGTGTAGGGAATGCTGGATGACTAGAGAAATTGAGGTTTTGGTCAAGAATAAGAAGGAAGCATATGTCAGGTATAGACAGCAGGGATTGAGTAAATCCCTTTAAGAGTATAAAGGCAATAGGAGTACACTCAAGGGAAATCAGGAGGGCAAAAAGGGGACATGAGATAGCTTTGGCAAATTCGGTTAAGGAGAATCCAAAGGGATTCTTACATTAAGGACAAAAGAGTAACTAGGGAGAGAATAGGGCCCCTTAAAGATCAGCAAGGCCACCTATGTGTGGAACTACACGAGACAGGGGAAGATACTAAATGAGTATTTTCCATCCATGTATACTGTGGAGAAGGATATGGAAGATGGAGAAAGTAGGGAAATAAATAGCGACATCTTGAAAAATGTTACAGAGGAAGAGGTTCTGGACATCTTAAAACACATGAAGGTGGATAAATCCCTGGGACCTGATCAGGTGTACCCTCGAACACTGTGGGAACCTAGGGAAGTGATTGCTGGGCCCCTTGCTGAGATACTTGTAACATCGATAACCACAGGTGAGGTGCCAGAAGACTTGGAGGTTGGCTAACATGGTGCCAGTATTGAAGAAAAGTGGTAAGGAAAAGCCAGGAAACTGTAGACCAGTGAGCTTGATGTCGGTGGTGGGCAAGTTGTTGGAGAGAATCCTGAGGGACAGGATTTAATGTATTTGGAAAGGCAAGGACTGTTTAGGGATAGTCAACATGGCTTTGTGTGTGGGAAATTGTGTCTCACTGACTTGTTTGAGTTTTTTGAGAAGTAACAAAGAGGATTGATGAAGGCAGAGCAGTGGACGTGATCTATATGAACTTCAATAAGGTGTTCAACAAAATTCCTCATGTAGACTGGTTCATAAGGTTAGATCACATGGAAGACAGAACTGGCTCGAAGGTAGAAGACAAAGGGTGGTGGTCAAGGGTTGCATTTCAGACTGGAGGCCTGGATCCAGCAGTGTGCCACAAGGATCGGTGCTGGGTAAACTGCTTTTCATCATTTATATAAATTATTTGGATGTGAACATAGGAGGTATGGTTAGTAAGTTTGCAGATGACACCAAAATTGGTGGTGTCATAGACAGTGAAGAAGGTTACCTCAGAGTACGATTGGATCTTGATCAAGTGGACCAATGGGCTGAGGAGTGGCAATGGAGTTTAATTTAGATAAATGTGAGGTGCTGCATTTTAGAAAAGCAAATCAGGGCAGGACTTGTACACTTAATGGTAAAGTCCTGGGAAGTGTTGCTGAACAAAGAGACCTTGGATTGCAGGTTCATAGTTTCTTGAAAGTGGAGTCACAGGTAGACAGGGTAGTGAGGAAGGCATTTGATACGTTTGCCTTTAAGGGTCAGTGGATTGAGTATAGGAGTTGCGAGGTCATGTTGCGGCTGTGTAAGATATGGTCAGGCCAGTAATGGAATACTGCATGCAGTTCTGATCTCCCTGATATAGGAAAGCTGTTGTGAAACTTTGGAGGGTTCAGAAAAGATTTACAAGGATGTCACCAGGGTTGGACAGTTAGAGCTATAGGGAGAGGCTGAATAGACTGGGGCTATTTTCCATGGAGCGTTGGAGGCTGAGGGGTGACCTTATAGAGGTTTATAAAATCGTAAGGGGGTGTGGATATGGTGAATAACCAAGGTCTTTTTCTCCAGGATGGGGAAGTCCAAAACTAGAGAACAGAGGTTTAATGTGAGAGGGGAAAGATTTAAAAGTGACCTAAGGGGTAACTTTTTCACACAGAAGGTGTTGCATGTATGAAATGAGCTGCCAGAGGAAGTGGTGGAGGCTGGTATAATTATAACATTTGCAAAGCATCTGGATAGGTATACGAATAAGAAAGGTTTTGAGGGATTATGGGCCAAATTCTGGCAAATGGGACTAGATTAATCTGGAATATCTGGTTGGCATGGACGAGTTGGACCAAAGGGTCTGATTCCGTGTTTTATATCTCTATGACTCTATTTCACCATGCAGACTTCTGAACAAGCATCTTAGATTCATAGAGTTGTACAGAGCCTTCGGTCCAACTCGTCCATGCTGACCAGATATCCTAAATAAATCTAGTTCCATTTGCCAGCATTTGGCCCGCATCCCTCTGAACCCTTCCTATTCATATACCCATCCAGATGCCTTTCAAATCTTGTAATTGTACCAGCCTCCACCACTTTGGGAAGTTTGGCCTAGTGAACTATGGAAGGGAGGGAAGCATCAGAAACAGCTCATTAGATTGTCTCGATCCAAGTGACAAAAAGCTCCATGAGCTCCTCACACTTTTTACTGGAGGTGAGGATGGAGGAGGCAGGAAAAATGGAGAGCCCTACGATATTGAATTAAATTGTCTTAATGTGTTGAATCTTTTCAATATCTCTATGTGTTTAACACGAAGCTGATTTATTTGACTCTCATCCAGAATGTGCACGTTGATGGGAAATGGTTTAAAATTTCTGTGGAACTGATGGTTGGATGATTGAGTGAATCCTTTTCCCCACAGGCTGAGCGGGTGACTGACCTCTGCCTGGTATGGAGTTGCTAGTGGACAATGAGGTCAGATGATTGCTTGAACCCTGTGCTGTAGTGAGAGCACCTGAATGGTCTCTTCAATGGTGTTATTACGTCAATAGTACATCAGATTCCCTGAACTTTTAAAGTAATTCCCGCATTCAGGCATTTAAAAGGCCTCTTAACAGAGTGAACCTGCTGGTGTTCTAGCAGGTTTTAAGACTGTGTGAATCCCTTCTCACACGCAGAGCAGGTGAACAGTCTTTCCTTAGTGTGACTACAGAGATGTGTTTTCAAGGCACAGAGGGAAATGAAATCCTTCCCACAGTTCCTACATTTCTATTGTTTCTCCCCACTGTGACTTTGCTTGTGTTTCATGAGGCCAGATGATTGTCTGAAGTGTTGTCTACACTCACAACATGTGTGCAGTTTCTCCCCAGGGTGAATGGTGCTTTCTCCTTCGATGTTCAAAGTCTCATGATATTGATGTCATGTTGCTTTTAGTTTTCCAACTGCAAATCCTTCCTTTCAAACACTATTTAACAGAGTTAAAAGAGTAAAAAAAAAGAATTTGAGTGATAATCAACAAAAATACACAGGCAGGTTGTGAAATTGAACCAAATGAATCCGGTACTTTGTGGTGCCAGTACTAGGAAGAAAAGTGGCCATGGAGGCACTTGGATTGTCATAAAAACCCAAATGGTTCACCAATGTCCTTCAGAGAAAGGCATCTACCCAGACTCTCTCACATTCTGGCTTGACTGGGAGTGGGAGTTGGGATGTAATGTTTTGGCTGCATGGGAAATTGATGAGGCCACTTTTGGAGTGTTGTGCACAGTTCTGGTTGCATTGCTTTAGGAAGGATGTAATTAAATTGGAAAGGGTACAGATAGGGTTTACAAGTGTGTTGCTGGATCTGGAGGGTTTGAGTTATAGGGAGAGGCTGGATAGGCTGGGACTTCTTTTCCTGGAGCATAGGCTGTTGAGGGGTGACCTTTTCAGTGGTTTATAAAATAATGAAGGGTATCGATAAGGTGTATTAAATTGTCTTAGAGATATTGAAAGGATTCAGCACGTTAATGTGTTTAATACAAAGCTGATTTATTTGACTTTATAAGGTGTCTCTTCCTGAGGGTAGGTGAGTCCAAAAACTAGAAGTGACAGGAGAAAGATTTAAATGGACCTGAGTGGTAACTTTTTAAACACCGAGGGTGTTCGTATGTGGAATGAACTGCCACAGGAAGTGGTAGTTGCAGGTACATTTACAATATTCAAAAGACATTTGGACAGGCACATGAACAGGAAAGGTTTAGAAGGATTTGAGCCAGGTGCAGGCAAATGGGATGAGTTTAATTTAGGTAACCTGGTTGGCATGGACGAGTTGGACTGAAGGGTGTGTTTCATTAGTGTATGACTCTGAGGGATATAAAGAGAGATAGAGAGTAAAATAATGAGAGGAATAGCTGGGAGAGCCAGTGGTTAGTAGAGAAAGCATTCATATTGCTTCAACTCAACCAGAATCTCCCAATGCTTCCACCTTCACCATTAATTTGATTTGATTTGATTTATTGTTGTCACATGTACATAAGTACAGTGAAAAGTTTTGTTTTGCATGCAGTACAGGCAGATCATAACATACAAGGGCATACAGACCATAGGGTGTACAGAGAGAGGCATACAAAGTTATGGTTGCACAGGAGGTGCACAAAAGTAAGATCAGCATTAGATTTGAAATTAGAGAGGTCCATTCATCAGTCTAATAATAGCAGGGAAGAAGCTGTACTTGACCCTTTTGGTGTGTCTCTTTCAGCTTTTGTATCTATTGCCTGACAGGAGAGGTTGGAAGACTATACCTGGGGTGGGAGTGGTCTTTGTTGTCTGCTTTTCCGTGTCAACAAAAAGTGTAGATGGAGTCAATGGGTGAGAACCAACACAACCGCGGATGCTGTAAATCAGAAACCAAAACAGAAATTGCTGGAAAAACTCGGCAGGTCTGGCAGCATCTATGGAGAGAAATCAGAGTTAACGTTCGGGTCGAACTCAGAACTGTTGTGAGGAAGGGTCACTTGACCCAAAACGTTAAGTATGATTTCTCTCCACAGATGCTGCCAGACCTGCTGAGCTTTTTCAGCAATTTCTGTTTTTGTTGTCAATGGACGAGAGGTTGGCTTGCATGATGATCTGGGCTGTGTTCACAACTTTCTGTAGCTTCTGAGAAAGACCAAGGAAGCACAGGTAACACACTACCATGGCTTGTCTGATATCCAGTCCTGAATGAGTAGAAATGTCCTCTATTTAAACACTGGGATGAAACTCAGCACTTCACCCTCACACTCACCGGAAACTGAGGCCAGACCAGACTGTTCATACAAATGGCAAATTATTTTCACTGTAAGAAGAGCTTCCAATCACACAATTCCTGTCATCAACTTCAGCGATATGAACTGAAAATTCTGAAATTTCTCAGCTGGTCTGTGGACAGAAAGAGAATAAATACTTTGCTTATGATCATCCATCATCAGAATTGAGGAAAAATTGAAATATCATAGGGTTTGAATAAGTGAAAGGGGTTTGTAGGGTTTGTGATAGGGTGATCCGCCTCAGTAACATTGCCTGACTTTGCCTCAATTGAATTGTTTTTTCATGGTCTCATCCTTTCCCCTATTGCGTCTAGACTGGACAATGCTGACACCTTGCTATAATATATTTTCTGAAGAAGGGTCCAGACTCGAAACGTCAGCTTTCCTGATCCCCTGATGATGCCTGGCCTGCTGTGTTCATCCAGCTCTACACCTTGTTATCTCAGACTCCAGCATCGGCAGTTCCTACTATCGCTGACACCTTGCTAGCTGTCTTCTAAAATTCAACTCTTAAAACTTGCGATCATCTATATCTGTGTGTGTCCTTACTTAAACAATGTCTCTTCTGCTATTGCAACTTTACCTAATGAACAAAGTCAGAAGTCGCACGACACCAGGTTATAATCAGAGATAGTAGCAACTGCAGATGCTGGAGAATCTGAGATAACAAGATGCAGAGCTGGATGAACACAGCAGGCGAAGCAGCATCAGAGGAGCTCCTGCTTCGCCTGCTGTGTTCATCCAGCTCTACACCTTGTTATACCAGGTTATAATCAAACAGGTTTATTTGAAGTCACAAGCTTTCGGAGCCTCCCGGTTCAACAACACCTCAATTGTGTAAATTCACGTCCTTACTTTCTATTCAGTTCATGCTCTCGTCTTCACTGTTTCTATAAATTCAAAATAGTTTCCAACAGCCAGAACAGACAACCCTTCTCCTATATTCAAAAGCTGATGCTATTTCAGATCGTGATGCAGCGAGTGCCTGTCAGATCTTGCTGTGCTGTTTGAGGTTCCCCTCTGCAGTCTCATTCAATATACCTGTAAATGGAGTTTACAAAAAAACCCTCACATTCCAGCCCAGGCTAAGAATTCAGCAGAGATAAACATTTCCGAGGAAGGGTCACCGGATCCGAAACGTTAACTCTGTTTTCTCCTTCAGAGATGCTGCCAGACCTGCTGAGCTTTTCCAGCAACTTTGTTTTTGTTCCTGATTTACAGCATCCGCAGTTCTTTTGGGTTTTTTTTAAAAGATAAACATTTGTCTGCTTTGAATTTCATGTGCATAAATCCTCCCCTTTGAATCCCCGGATTAGAAATTGCAGCGCAGGCGCTTTGCTGCATATTGCCCCTGTAAACATGGCGATCGCGCAGGCATTCCGCAGAATATTACCCCAACAAAGATGGCGGCAACCAGCGGCAGTCCCCGCCTGAGGCCCCCAGATGTTTGCGGCGAGCGCGAGACGGAGAGTTTCTAATTAAGTTCTGGTGGCCGATACAAGTGTTTATAAAAGCTTAAAATTTCGACTGGTTCTGCTTCTTCCAAACCACGTCCCCCTCCCTTTATCAGGCCCACAATATCCAGTATTTATTATTCATTCATTCTTCAGTCGCAGTAGTGGGGAGGAGGTCACGTGTCACCAGCGTGGCCCCACCCCCCAGTCTTCGGATTGGCTGGAGGACCAGCCGCACGTATCCGGTCCTCCAAGACAGCCGTGTCCATTCCTATTGGTTGGAGGATGTGCCATTCAGGAGCCGCGGCTGGCCCACCCGCCCACTTTCCATTGGTCCGGATCCGCTGTCAATTACCCATTATGACCTGGGAATGTGCCCTGCAAGTGGAGAGAAGCGGCCGCGCGGAAATTGGTAGCGAGTGAAATCCTGCTGAATGGGCGCAGAGGGACGGAACAGGCGGCTGGGGCTGGGTGGAGAGGCTTCATTAAAAAAAACTTTCTGTAGACCTCAAACTCCGAATGAGAGCATACCGGCACCGGATTTCAAACGAGGTGTGCCCCCTCAGGCGGATCCAGCGTAGGGGCCCAGGGTGACGGACGTCGACCTGAGTCAGTAGGACCTCAGGGTCCCTGTGACCAGGAGAGAAGGTGAATGGTTCTGATTTTGTTGATTTATCTTCACTCTACAGCCAAACTTGGGAGAGTTGAAATAGACACAGTAGGTCTGGTAGTATCTGTGGAGAGAGGATCAGAGTTGACGTTTCCAGTCCAATGCTCAGAAAAAATGCTCAAGAAACCACCAGATTCAGGTGTAGTAACAAATTAAGACTCGAATGCTGAAATAGATGGGGGGCATGGGTTTAGATTTTCGTGCAAGGACGAGGGAACTTCTGTTGTTTGGGGATTTACAGCTTCAGGTGAACAAATGAGGCAAAACGTTCCACGGAAAGTGCAATTGTCTGTTCTGAAATTCTGTCCTACACTTGCAGACATGACCTCTGTATACTCCTTTTACAGGGAATTCGAGGGGGAGCATTTACAGATGGGAAATGCAAACCAAGCACCACATCAAGGTCATCATATCCTCAATGTCATCCACTTCTGAAGGTGGAAAGAGAGATGTTTGTCTGTGGGAAAAGATTTCAAACATAAGTACGACTGGAAAAGTATTGAGGTGGAAATTGACATGAATGAGAAAGTTCTAACAAAATGTTTTAACCAATTACACAGCCTGAGGAAACTTAACTATTTGCAGCAGGAAAAAAAACTGTACATGTGTGGATGAGGACTCAACTGATCTTCCTACCTGGAAAGACCCAAGGACACTAGCACCATGGAGAAACCATGGAAATGTGATGATTGTGGGAAGGGATTTAATTATCCTTCCCAGCTGGATGTACACCGACGCAGTCACACTGGGGAGAAACCATGGAAATGTGGGGACTGTGGGAAGGGATTCAATTACCCGTCCCAGCTGGAAATTCATCAGCGCAGTCACACAGGGGAGAAACCGTGGAAATGTGGGGACTGTGGGAAGGGATTCAATTGCCCGTCCCAACTGGAAACACATCGACGCAGCCACACTGGGGAGAGACCGTTTGCCTGCTCTGAGTGTGGGAAGGGATTCACTAAATTATCCAATCTCACAGTCCACCAGCGTGTTCACACTGGGGAGAGGCCTTTCACCTGTTCTGTGTGTGGGAAGGGATTTGCGCTGTTAGCCAGCCTGCAGGGTCACCAACGCGTTCACACTGGAGAGAAGCCATTTAGCTGCACTTCCTGTGGGAAGAGTTTCAGGTATTCGTCTACGCTCATTGAACACCAGCGAGTTCACACTGGCGAGCGGCTCTTCACTTGTACCGAATGTGGGAAGGGATTTACTCAGTCATCCACCCTACTGAGGCACCAGCAGGTTCACGTTGGGGAGAGGCCATTCACCTGCTCCGAATGCGGGAAGGGTTTCACTCAGTTATCCCACCTGCTGACCCACCAGCGCATTCACACCAATGAGAAACCGTTCACCTGCGCTCGTTGTGGAAGGAGTTTCAGACATTCAGGCAGCCTCACTTCACACCAGCGTGTTCACACCGGGGAGAGGCCCTTCAGCTGCTCCGAGTGTGGGAAATCATTCACTGAGTTGTCCAGCCTCATTTCTCACCAGCGGCTTCACACAGGGGAGAGGCCGTTCAATTGCTCGGAGTGTGGGAAAGGATTCACTCAGTTATCCCACCTGCTGTCGCACCAGCGGGTCCACACTGGGGAAAAGCCCTTCATTTGTGCTCACTGTGGAAAGTGTTTCCGGCATTCAGGTAGCCTCACTGAACACCAGCGCACGCACACAGGGGAGCGGTCGTTCACCCCTCACAAACGTGGGAAAGAATTTACTCAGCCGACAAACCTGGTGGTACACCAGTGAGCACACAAGTTGGATCCTGCTGCTACAGTGACTGTAATCACATACAGGGATGAACCATGTTGATTCCTTTTGCATTGGGCAGTTTGTTTTGTGCCGATGTTAATAATCTCCGTAACTGGGCTGCATTTCAATATCCTGGATCGGTTGCTGATTCTGCTTCTGAGACTCCAGAGTCCCTTTAAGAATTGCTGTCTGTGACCTTTCCCCATAATTTTGTGAGCTCACATCAGAGATTAGTTTCGCACAGTGTCATTGGATCATTACTTCAATCTTAAACGGACCTTTGCTTCAAAATCCTTCAATTTTGTGTCTAAAAGTTTCTCTCTCTCATTAGAAAGTGTTGATTGATGAATCTTTGCTGTCAATTCTTACTGACATGCACATTCCACACAGAAGCACCTTTACTTTCCAGCGTGAAGAGAAGGAATGGGAATTGTTGGGGAATTGAGAGTCTGCAAATGTTTTCCTCCCATCTCAGAAATCCCTCTGACACTGGAATAGAGACACATCGAATCGATGTAACAGTCTGAGAAATCACTGTCTAATAAATTTATAAAGTCTGAGGAGACTCCTGCAATATTATAGAGATAGCTCACTCTATCATATGAGTAAAGCTTCCACAGGCCTGTTATCTATGCCAGACCTGAAACAAGACATATCTGACTCTGATGTAATTGGATCTCATAACCTATGTGTGAATGAACTGTCTAAAGATTAAAACTGCTCCTTGAGATGCAAAACATCACTATTGGACTGGAAAGACATTCTGAATTTGATCTGAACTAGCTTTGGCCTAAATCCCACTTTCTGACTCGCGCTAAGAGACACTACCACCAGCTACAGAGATCAGCTGTCCCTCTGCATCTCTTGGATCAGTAAACTGTTCTCACCTGTTTTTCCTGTCTCTTTATCACACACATCTTTGAAATGTTGTTTCTTCATTAACAACTTTAGAATCATGTATCTTCATGACAATTTGTTCGGATAATCTCAGAGTCCAGGATTGAAAACCTTACTGCCTACTTTCTGCAGTTCTGGTGGATATATTATACGAAAGATACAGAGGCACTGGAGAGGGAGCAGAGAAGATTTGCAATGATACCAGAAATGTGTGGGTTTAGAGAGTAGTAAAGGATTGATGGGCTGAGTCTCTAATCATGAGAACAGAAGGCTGAGAGGGTGACTTCATTACAGACCTTAAAAATTAGGCTGCATTTGCTGGTACCCAATAGCATTTGTGTTATTCCCTGCACGCTGTGAATGTGCATGTGCAGTTGCCCGACAGTTCAGTTTCTGCCTTAACATTATGAAAGGTTTTGATTGACTGGATACAGAGAGAATCTTTCCCATTGTGAGAAGGAGCATCAAATAAGATAATTGCGAATAAATCCAATACAGAATTCAGAGAAAAAAAACTTCTTTTACTCAAAGCGTGGTGAGAATGTGGAACCGGCTTCTAGAGGGAGTGTTTAAAGTAAACAATATAGATGTGTTTGCAGGGAATCTAGACAAGCAGAGGAGGGCGAAGGAAGGAGAGGGTTACAATGACGGATTTGGATGAAAGATGGGAGCAGCAAAAACAGAAATTGCTGGAAAAGCTCAGCAGGTCTGAAAACTTCTGTGGAGAGAAATCAGAGTTAACGTTTCAGGTCAAATGACTCTTCCTCAGAGGATGGGAGGAGGTTCATTTGGAGCCTTAACACTGACATGGTTGTGTTAAATTTCAGTGGCATTCATCTGGTCTAATTAGCCCCTGAAGGTTCTGCTTCTACTTTTCAGTCTCTGTCACCTATTCCTGGACTGTCTAAGCAGTAGAAATAATTGATTTTTTTTGTTTACCCCCTGTTCCCCTGCATGTTTTTGATTCTGCTGCTACTGCTACTGTAAGTCACATCCAGAACTGAACCATTCAGACAGCTGGTGTCTATGTCCACCAGTGTTTATGATTTCTGTAAGTGGGCTAATATCTTGGCATTGTTAAATAAATCAGGTTATTTCAAACACACTGTCAAGTTCTTGATTTCTTCAGCATAAGAGCAGTTGAAATTGTCTCTTTTTAAAACTGATTACTCAGTTTTAGGATCATTTTTTTAACTTTAGATTATTTCAGTTCTTTTACCTTTGGTTGCTGTCATGGTGAATTCCCAGCTCTTCCAGAGAGTCTGTCAGACACTCCAAAGATGATTTTGGTATTAAACAGAGACAGTGCTGGAAATGATAATCCACACTTTACCACGTGCCCATTGAAACTGTCCTTTATTTCTGGCTTTCAGACTCTTAATATTTCAAGTCCAGTGAACCTTCAGAACTAGTGTAGTTTTAGATCTCTAAATGGAATCAGCAGAAAAGAAAGTGTTACAGCAAGTGAAATTCAGGAAGAATGTTCTAAATTATGAATATAAACCACATTCACAGTACCTGAGGCCATGGGAGCAACAACTGGCTAATTTGGGGGTGTACTGGATGACAGTAACCAGTCTCAGAATTCTCTTCACCAACCAGACAGTGGGAATGACCATATTCAGAATTTCCAATAGGAAAGACAGACTAAAATTATGAGGATAAATGCTGAGAGGATGTTTCCACTCGTGGGGGAGTCTAGGACCAGAGAGCATAGCCTCAGAATAAAGGGGTTCTAATTCAAGACTAAGACGAGGAGAAATTTCTTCCTCAGAGGGTTGTGTGTCTTTGGAACTCCTCGGCCACAGAAAGCTGTGGGGGGCAGGGTCCTTGAATATATTAAAGGCTTTGATAGATTCTCAATCAGTAGTGGGAATCAAGGTTATGAGAAAAGGACAGGAAAGTGGCCATGAGGATAGAGTCCATTGTTCTGCCTTCATCAATCTTCTTTGTCACTTCTTCAGAAAAACTCAATCAAGTTAGTGAGACATGAATTTCCACACACAAAGCCATGTTGACTGACTCTAATCAGCCCTTGCCTTTCCAAGTACATTTCAATCCTGGCCCTCAAAATCACATCCAACACTTACCGACCACTGATGTCAGGCTCACCAGTCTTTAGTTCCCTGACTTTTCCTTACCACCTTTCTTAAATAATGGCTCCACGTTAGCCAACTTCCAGTCTTCCGGCACCTCACCCGTGGCTATTGATGATACAAATATCTCAACAAGAGCCCCAGCAATCACGTCCCTAGCTTCCCACAGAGTTCTGGGATATACCTGATCAGGTCCCAGGAATTTAAACACCTTTATGCATTTGAAGACATCCAGCACCACCTCCTCTGTAATATGGACACTTTTCAAGATATCACTGTTTATGTCTGCAAGTCCTTCAGCTTCCATATCCTTCTCTACAGTAAACACTGACGCAAAATACTCGTTTAGTATCTCCCCCATCTCCTGCGGTTCCACACATAGGCGTCCTTGCTGATTTTTAAGGGGCCCTATTCTCTCCCTAGTTTCTCTTTATTCTTAATATATTTATAGGATCCCTTATTTGCCAAAGCTATCTCATGTCCCCTTTTTACCCTCCTGATTTCCCTCTTGAGTATACTGCTATTGCTCTTATTGCCCTTGAGGGATTCACTCGATCTCAGCTGTCTATACCTGCTACTTGCTTCCTTCTTTTTCTTGACCAGAGCTCAATTTCTCACATCATTCAGCATTCCCTGCACTTACCAGCCTTGCCTTTCACACTAATAGGAACATACTGCCTCTGGATTCTCGTTATGTCATTTTTGTAGGTCTCCCATTTGCCAACAACCCCTTTACCTGTGAATAGCCTCCCCCAATCAGCTTTTGAAAGTTCTTGCCTAATACCGTCAAAATTGGTTTTACTCCAATTTAGAGCTTTAACTTTTAGATCAGGTCTCTCCTTTTCCATAACCATTTAAAGACTGATAGGATTATGATCACTGGCCCCATAGAGCTCCCCCACTGACACCTCACTCACCTCCCCTGCCTTATTTCCCAAGAGTAGATCAAGTTTTGCATCTTTTCTAGTCGGTACATCCACATACTGAATCAGAAAATTTTCTTGTACACACTTAACTAATTCCTCTCCATCTAAGCTCTTAACACTATGGCAGTCCCAATATTTGGAAAGTTAAAATCCCCTACCATTATCACCCTATTATTCTTACAGATATCTGAGATCTCCTTGCAAATTTGCTTTTCAGTTTTCCGCTGACTTTTGGGGGCCTATTGTACGATCCCAATAAGGTGATCATCCCTTTCTTATTTCTTCCCCAGATAACTTCAGTGGACATAGTCCCAGGAATACCCTTCCTAAGTACAGTTGTAATGTTATCCTTAACATTAAATGCCACTCCGCCTCCTCTCTTACCCACCCTTTCTTTCCTTCCAGTAGCATCTAAAGCCTGGAATATTAAGCTGCCAGTCCTGCCCTTCTCTGAGCAATGTTCCTGTAATAACTGTGATATCCCAGCCCCATATTCCAACCATGCCCTGAGTTCATCTGCCTTACCTGTTAGGCCTCTTGCATTGAAATAAATGCAGTTTGTTATCAGTTTTACCTCATTCTCAGCCTTGTTCCTGCCTGCCTTGATTCTTTGACCTACTCTTATTCTCAACTATACCAGCCTCAGACTTATCTCCTTTCTCACCACCTTTTTGCGTCCCATCCCCCTCCTGCTTACTAATTTAAAGTCTCCTGAGCAGTCCTAGCAAATTTCCCTGCCGGGATATGAGTAGAGAAGTCTCACTGCAACTGTACAAGGTGCTGGTGTGAACATTACTGGAGTACTGTGAGCAGTTGATGGCACCTTATTTAAGGAAAGACATTATTTCATTGGAGATGTTCAGAAAAGGTTCACTAAGATGATCCCTGGGTATGAAAGATTTTGGAATGTATTAATTGGAATTTAGAATGAGAGGTGATTTCATTGAAGCATATAGGATTCTTAAGGAGCTGGAAAGGGTAAATGCTGAGAGGATGCTTCCCCCTCATGGGGGAGTCTAAGACCCAAAGGTATAGCTCAGGGTAAATGAGCACCAATTAAGGACTAGATAAGGAGAAATTGCATATCTCAGAGAGTTGTGAGTCTTTGGAAGTCCTTGCCACATAGAGCTGTGGGGGCGGAATACTTGTGTATATTTAAGGCTGACATAGATTCTTGAGCAGTAGGTGAACCAATGGTTATGGGGAAAGGGCAGAAAAGTGGACGTGAAGAATATCAGATCCAGCCATGATCCTACTGAATGACAGAGTAGGATTGAGGGGCTGAACTGCCTAATCCTGTCCCTATTTCTGTGATCATTGCAATGTATCACTCAATGAATTGAGGTGGCACAGTGGCTCAGTGGTTAGTGCTGCTGCCTCACAGTGCCAGGGACCCAGGTTCAATTCTACTGCCAGGCGACTGTCTGCGTGGAGTTTGCATGTTCTCCCTGTGTCTGTGTGGGTTTCCTCTGGGTGGCTCTAGGTTTCTCCCACAGTTCAAAGATGTGTAGGCTAGGTGGATTGGCCATGCTAAATTGCCCGTAGTGTTCAGGGATGTGGAATTTAGGTGGGCTATAGGGGGAATGGGAGGTGTGTGGACTTGTTGGGCCGAAGGGCCTGTTTCCACACTGCAGGGATTCTACGATCTTTCCAGTCTCTGTTGCTCTGAATGTGTCACGTTTTATTCAGCCCCGCCTCCAGTTCATTGGTTGGAGGGACAGCTGCAACCAATTGGTTATGCAACACCGCCCTCTTTACCTATTGGTCTGGAGATGCCGTCAATCATTCTGGACGCGGGAAGGAGTATGCGTGGAACCGGTCTGGAGACTCCGTGTACAGCGCATGCGCAGTCGCTGTCCGTGTCCGTGTCTCTGATCGTCCATGACTTGTTTCTCGAATCCACAAAGGGTGAGATTCAGGCGGATCGGTGGGAGCTGCGGGTGGGCGGAGAGGTTTCAAGAGCACTTTGTGTCAGTCGCAAATTCCGAATAAGAAACTCCCGGTCGCACCAAATGGAAAGACGCCTCCAGGTTTTCTACCGTGATTGTCCCCGGGCCGAAGGCCGCCATCTTTATTAGGGTCACTAGGCAGCAGAGTACGTGCGCAGCCGTCATCTTTGTAGGGGGCAACGTTTGGTAGTAATAGGTGGAATCAGCTACCCATTGTTCAGAAGGGAGACAACTTGTCCATCAGGCTGTATTAGCCTTCACACCCAATGTCTTATTGATGAGGCAGAGCTGTGGCTTAGAAGCAAAGTAAAGGAATAAAATCCTGTTTTCTGGATTCCACTACCTGATGGGACGTACTGTCCCAGATGTCCAAAGATCTGTGATTCTGTCCAGTCACATGAAGACCCAGGGCAGAAACTCACCATCCTGAGCAGACATCATCTTCGAAACGAGGACTAGCCATGACGAGGGGTATTGTGCAGCAGAGAACATGTGTAGTCATGCAGGGACAGAGGGAAAGGGATATTACGAATATCCTGGAGTGATGGTCATAGAATTTGCAAACTTCTTTTACAGGGTATTACAAGATGATTACCAATCGAGAACCTGAAACCAGACATCACATCAAAATCTGACAGAATCACTCAATTAATCAGGATATTATCGGCCTTTGGGTGTAAAGAATTGGTTAGTATCACTTACTGCATAAATTGCTTCTTTGTATTTCCTTTGCGCCTCTTTCTGAAAATCTTTACATTACGTCAATAATCAGAAACTGTTAGATGCCTCCAGCAGGAAGGGAGGCCATTTAACTCATTTTGTCCACCAGATTTATAGGGATCTTACTACACTAATCCCATTTTCTGGTTCTTGGACCGTAGTTCTGGAGGTTATGGCAATGTAGTGAATATCTAAATAATACTTAAGTTCAGGCAATTGAGTTCCAGATTCCCGTACCCTCCAAGTGAAGAAATTTGTTTTCCAATTCTTTCTTAGCTTTGTAACTCTTACCTCTAATTCTCCTCCAGGCTGCAGAGGTCAGTTGCCATTTGTGGAACCTTGGAGTATTGCACTCATGCACAGCCATGCTAACTAAAGGGAACATTTACTTGAATCTATGTGCCCTGGTTACTGAACCCTCTACCAATTTTTAAAAATGCCTCTCTGTGATCTTCATAACTTTATATACCACTATCAGGACACCTCTTGCCTCTTACTATTCCATTGTATAGTAACACCCAGCCTATCCAATTTTTGCTTATAGCTCAGACCCTCCAGCCAGGCAGACCCTGGTATTCCAATCAGCTGATGGGAATAGCTTTATTAATCTTACAGAAACCTGTGATAAAGGTGTGCATTTTTACCAAATCTCACTTCAACCTTCTTTGCTCCAGAGAGAGTAACCGCACTTTCATGAACTCAGAACACAATGACAATACTTCACCATCAACCACTCTGGTAAATCTCCTCTACCCCCTCTCAGGGACCATCTCATCTTTCACAATGTACTGTGATCTCTGGTTTGCACACACCCAGGGTGCTGTGTTTGTTTTTGTTTGATGTCATCTCACAGCGACATTTACACAGTGACATCACCCACTCCCTGGGAATTTCCTCAACTGTTAAGATTTTTCTCTGACTCCAGTTCTTCTGATACCTTTCCAGCTGCAGGCTCCCAACAGGAGATTTTCAAATTGAAAACAGTGAATTTGCTCAAGTTGAGTACTCTTGATCATTCAGTCGACAATTTTAAGCTTTTAATGCTGTGCTCCATTATCTGTGAGAAGTTCCACAGCACTGGGGACAGTGTGACCCGTTTATTGAGGATTAAATCCATATCAATCCAAGTCTCAGTTTCATCTCTGCCCGCTCTGATCAACGGTCTGCCATTGTTGAACTACCTTTGTCTCTTATAATGCATGCATTTAAGCTTTGATAAGTATTTCACTGATATTTCTATGTTCATTGCTGGTATGTTGTGAACAAGGCTTAAGGAAGTTTCAAAGGGATATAGGTTAAATGCGTGGGCAAAGATGTGGCAAATGAGGAGCAATGTTTTACATAGAGAATAGTTCGTGTGTGGAATGAACTTCCAGAGGAAGTGGTGGATGCGAGTACAGTTACAACATTTAAAAAAAAAGTTAATAAGAAATGTTTGGAGGGATATGGGCCAAACGCAGGAAAGTGGACAGCACAGCGCCTCAGCAGTCAGCAATGCTGCCTCACAGCACCATGGACCCGGGTTCGATTCCACCCTCGGGCAACTGTCTGTGTGGAGTTTGCATGGTCTACCCCTGTGTCTGCATGGGTTTCCTCCGGGTGCTCCGGCTTCCTCCCGTTGTCCAAAGCGGTGCAGATTAGGTAGATTGTCCATGTTAATTGCCCACAGCACCTAGGAATGTATCGGTTAGGTAGATTAGCCATGGGAACGCAGGGTTACAGGGATAGGAGAAGTGGGGTTGGGTCTGGGTGGAACGCTCTTCAGTGTGGACTTGATGGGCTGAATGGCCTGCTTCCACACTGTAGGAATTCTATGAAGTGGGACTGGTTTAGTTTGGGATTATGTTCGGCATGGACTAGTTGGACCAAAAAGTCTATCTCCCTGTTGTATGACTCTGTGACTTCATAAATGGAGTACAATGTAGAAGAATGTCAAATTGTTCTTTTTGGTGGGAAGAATAAAAAATAAGTATATTATTTAAATAATGAGAGATTGCAATGCTTAGTCTAAACTGACTACCCGCTGCATCTAAAGAGGAGGGGGTGAGGTTGTTAAATGAAAGAAAAGTAACAAGTAACAATTTATTTATTTAACCCTAACAGTGAACAAATTAACAGAACTACTAACAAACTGAACGATTTCGCCAACTCCTAACTATTCCCTAACTGAGCAAAATTCTGCTGGTACGCTACTCCAATAAACACAAGTCCCACTTATATAACCTGAGTAGTAAGAAAGAAAGATAAATTAAAACTTACTCTCTCACAGTCCACACAGACTGTGACTTCCAAAATACTCTGCCTTCTCCACTGTCTGCCCAGTCATAAACACTGTTCTTCTGCTGATCCTGCTGTCAGGGATGTTTTCTCTGTGAAGATTCTTAGCTAGAAGTGCTGTTGCGGTACCTTTTATGGATAGAGATGCTTTCTTAGAGATCTTAGCAATTTCTTGTGAGGGCTAGGTGCTCATTTCTCAGATGACGGTTCACTCTCACTCCAATTTTCAAAACCCTCTTCTTATATACCTTGGATGACATACCAATTTTCTTACAATAGCATTGGTCCGGAGTTGTCAAAACCATCAGATTTAAATTCAGAGATAGTAGGAACTGCAGATGCTGGAGAATCTGAGATAACAAGGTGCAGAGCTGGGTAAACACAGCAGGCCAAGCAGCATCAGAGGAGGGTCCAGACCCACAACGCCAGCCTTCCTGTTCCTCCGATGCTGCTTGGCCTGCTGTGTTCATCCAGCTCTACACCTTGTTATCTCAGATTTAAATTCAATTGGCTTTCAATCGCTCAGTGCTTGGGTTAAATTAATTGGCTGATTCCTGCTCATTGCCAAAACATCAAAACAAGCCCAAGGTTTACAATCACACAGCCAGTTGATACATGTTTCCATTTTAGAACTGGCTGCTCATCTTCAGCTACATACAGACGCATCTTTTTTTGTATAAATCTCTTAAGCATAGAAAAGCACTTTATCTCTTAAAGGGACCATGCACAGTTCTCCCTTATCATTTTTTACAAACAAATTCTCGCTTCCTTCCGTCCAGTTCACCATGACTCTACATAACTTCGTAACAGCATGAATCACAAAAGGTTCATATGTGGGGCCAGCAAGTCGTTAGGGGAAACCAGAAGACTGATATCACTTATTGCAGGGAATTCAAAACAAAAAAAGGAAGGTTATGCTTCTGATATACAGCATACCGGAGTACTATGCACAGCACTGGTATTCTCATTTAAAGGAGGCTGTAAAGGAGTATGAGGCAGTTCAGAGAAGATTTACTAGATTAGATGTATAAGAAAATGTTGGACAGGGTGAGTTTATACATGCTGGAGCTTATAGCAGTAAGAGGTCACTGGATTGAAGTGTATAGGGTGCTGAGCGGCCTTGGCTGTGTAGATGCAGAGAGGGTATTCTCTGCTAATGGGATCACAGTGCAAATAACTAGGGTGGCCCTTTCAAAACAGAGATTAGGTGAAGTTATTTTCTCTCTGAGAGTCATGAGCCTTCCTGAAAAGGTGATGGAAGCAGAGTCCTTAAATATTTTTAAGGCAGGGCTGGATAGATTCTTGTGGAACAAGGCGGTGAAGGGTTATCAGAGGTCTGCTGGTTTGAGGTTGTAAGCAAAGTGGCCGAAATCTTATTGAAGGGTAGAGCAGACTCGACGGGCTGAGTGGCCTACTTGGTTGCGTTTTCAGCTGACCGAGTCTAAATTAGGTCTGCACCACTGCTCTTCTTGTGCTGACAATGTGCTGCTATCTTACCAGTTTCATCTTCACTCAATATCTTCCATAGTCAGCAGATGGTTCTAATATGCTGTGGTGCATTTCTCTTCCCTTTCTGTGCTTATTTTAACCGTCAAATTCTGCACCGCCTCAGTTCCCCCATAATTCATTCTGCACACCCTGAAACACTTGACTCGGTTCCCGTCCCCGTGATACTGCCAGACGTGCTGGGTATTTCAGCATTTTCTCTTTTTATTTCAGATTTCCAACAGCTGTAATATTTTGCTGTTATTTTATTGTGGGCATCACACACAGCACCCAGCCTAGAAACACAGGCAGACCACCTCAGAACCAGTTGTATCAGGCTGGGTGCTGGTGACAGAGCTTGATCCCTGACTCCAACGTGGGTCCTTTTCTTAGTGAGTCACAGAAGAATTGAGTAAATACAGTACAGAATGATACCGTTTAGCCCGTCAGGTCTGTGCTGGCTCTCTGTCAGAGTAAGTCAGCTCGTCCCATTCCCCTTGTCTTTTCACAATTAAGACAGCAGATGTTGCCGATCACTGGTCGTCTGCAGAAGATGATATTTGACCTTCTTGAACCACTGCAGTACATATAGTGAAGGTGCTGTTACCATGCTGTTGTGTTATTTAACCAGCGATGATACAGGATAGCAATTTATTTCCAAGCCAACAACAATTTGTAGTTATGTAGCGCCTTTCACATCATTATCTATTCAAAGGTGTTTCATTGGAGTGTTAGAATGGAAACAAAGGTTGACACTGAGCCTCATAAAATGATCTGAGATCAGATGAGCAAATGTTTGGGCTTCAAGGAGTATTTAAAACCAGGAAAGTGAGGACGAGGGGCAGAGAGGTTTTGAGAGGAAATTCCAGAGGTCATGCGAAGGCAACTTAATTACATTGCCAGAGGTGGAACAATTAGAATTAAACAGGGAGAGCTAAAGGGGACATAGATTTCAGACTTTTGTAAGGCTTGGAGGAGATTGCAGAGATAGGAAAGATTATGAGGCTGAGGGAAGTTGTGAGGCTAGAGAAGGTGACAGAGACAGGGAGGCCACTGAAACTGGAGGAAGTGACGGAAATTGAGAGGCTGAAGGAGATTACAGAGGTAGGAAGCAACAGAACCAGCGTGGGATTTGAACAGCCTGATTCAGTCTCAGGCAGTTGCTAGGGAAAGGGATGGAGTAATTGGTGAGGAGGTGGAGTTTGCAGCAGGGACTGAAGGCAACGGCAACGTTTAAATTGAGGAAATTTCTGCTGATCCAGTACTGGATGTCAGACAATTTAGGAAGGGGTGTAACTTGGAGGGGATAATGTGCACCTGCCACCCTGGATCTTGTTGTAGTAGAGGTTGAGAGTGTTTGGGAAATTCTATCAGAGTTCTGGTCAATTTGTAGAGGAATATGACCCCTCATCATCTGACCTGGCCCTCCCTTTTTCTCTTTACTTTCAAAACAGGTCAAAAATTCTTTGGTAGGTCCAGACTGGGTGGCAGGTTCCCTTTCCTGAAGGGCAACGGAGGCTTCACAAATTACTAAAAAAAAATCTCAATCTCTATAGTGTGGGAACAGGCCATTCAGCCCATCGAATGCATACCCTCCAAACAGCATCCCACCCAGAACCATTCCCCTATCCCTATAACACTGCATTTCCCATGGCTAATCCACCTCGGCTGCACATCCCAAGACACTAGGGGACAATTTAGCACAGTCAATCCACCCTAACCTGCACATCTTTGGACTATGGGAGGAAACCGGAGCACCTGGAGGAAACCCACGCAGGCACGGGGCGGGGGGCTGGGGGAAATGTGCAAACTCCACACAGACAGTCGCCCCAGGGTGGAAGAGAAACCAGGTCCCTGGCGCTGTGAGGCAGCAGTGCTAACCACTGAACCACAGGTGCCAGATTTATTCAGATCAATAACGCATGCTGAGCTCCTCCTCACTTCTCTCTGCTTCAACCCGAATTTAGGGAGGATTTGCAGTTGGGAAACTGAAATATGACATCAGGTCTGACGGAAGATTTGCCCGGCACATCATAAGCTCAAATCGTGATTGGGATTTTGGACATGGAGCGAAATGGCACCAGTCACATCTGCTCTATGTGCGGACGAGGCTTCAGCCAACCATCTGACCTTTCCAGGCACATCCGCTGTCACACTGGGCAGAAAGCGTACACATGTCCTGTGTGTGGCCAAGGCTTCACCTTATCATCCGGTCTGTCCCAACATCAGTGCAGTAAGAGCCGGGAAAAGCCGTGGAAATGTGAGGACTGCGGGAAGGGATTCAGAATCCCCTCCGAGCTGGAAGCCCACCGGCGCAGTCACACGGGGGAGAGGCCGTTCACCTGCTTCGAGTGCGGGAAAGGCTTCAGTCGGTCGTCGACTTTGCAGAAACACCGGCGGCTCCACACCGGGGAGAGGCCGTTCGCTTGCTCCGAGTGCGGCAGGGCGTTCGCTCAATCATCCGACCTTCGGACGCACCGGCGGGTCCACACGGGGGAGAGACCTTTCACCTGCTCCGAGTGCGGGAAGGGCTTCATTCAGTCTTCCACTCTGCAGAAACACCAGCGGGTTCACACCGGGGAGAGGCCATTCGCTTGCTCCGAGTGCACGAAGAGATATACTCAGTTATCCGACCTGCTGAGACACCGGCGGGTCCACAACGGGGAGAGGCCGTTCTCCTGCTCGGTGTGTGGGAAGGGCTTCACTCAGTCGTCCCACCTGCTGAGCCACCAGCGGGTCCACACCGATGGGAGACCCTTCAAATGCCCACGTTGTGGGAAGTGCTTCAAAAGATCTGGGGAACTGACGCGCCATCAACTCGTTCACACCGACGAGAGGCCATTCAGATGCTCTCACTGCGCGACTGGCTTCAGGCAATCGTCTGACCTTACAAAACACCAGCGGGTTCACACCGGGAAGAGGCCGTTCTCCTGCTCCGTGTGCGGGAAAGGGGATTCGCAGAGTCGGCCTCGCTACTGATGCACCGGCGCGTTCACGCTGGGGAAGTGACTGTTCATTCACCTGCATGACGTGTGGCAAGAAATTCACTCCCTGGTCCACCCTGCTGCAGCACCCGCCAGTTCACCATTAACTCCAGAAACTGGACTTCACGGTTTAAATCGAATCCAGGACCGAACCGTTCTGAGGAAGGGTCGCCGGAGCCCAAATGTTAACTCTGATTTCTTTTTTTCCTTCTTCTTCACAGATGCCGCCTCACCTGCTGAGCTTTTCGAGCAACTTCTGTTTTTGTTCCTGCCCAATTTATACCTGTAAGTATTCAAAGAAATAAAAAATTTGCTAAACACAAAGTGTGTGGAGTCTTTTTAATATCTCTAACAAAAATTAGTTCCACGTGAAGGACTGTCTCTCTCTCTCTTGTCTCCTCTGTCCTTAGAACATAGAACTGTACAGCACAGTACAGGCCCTTCGACCCATGATGTCGTGCAGAACTTTTACCCTAAACCTAAGGCCTATCTAACCTCCACCCCTACCTTATACTATCATCCATATGCCTATCTAATAGCCACTTAAATGCCCCAAATGAGGCCGACTCCACTACCCTCTCGGGCAATGCATTCCACGCCCCTACTACTCTCTGAGTAAAGAACCTACCTCTGACGCCTCCCCTATATCTACCTCCACTCACTTTAAAACTATGCCCCCTCGTACTAGCTACCTCCACCCTAGGAAAAAGTATCTGGCTGTCCACTCTATCTATACCTCTGATCATGATCATGTTGTATACCTCTATCAAGTCACCTCTCATCCTTCGTCATCCTAAAGAGAAAAGCCCTAGCTCTCTCAACCTTTCCTCGTAAGACCTTGCCTCCATTTCAGGCAATGCTTCCACATTTTTCCTGTAATAAGGCAACCAGAACTGGACACAATATTCCAGATGTGGCTGAACCAGGGTTTTGTATAACTGGAGCATAACTTCACGGCTCTTGAACTCAATCCCTCTATTAATGAAAGCTAACACACCATACGCCTTCTTAACAACTCTATCCACCTGGGTGGCAGCTTTCAGGGAACTGTGGACATGAACCCCAAGATCCCTCTGCTCCTCCACACTGCCAAGAATCTTTCCGTTAACCCTGTATTCTGCTTTCAAATTTGTCCTTCCAAAATGAATCACCTCACACTTTTCAGGCCACTTCTCAGCCCAGCTCTGCATCCTATCAATGTCCCTTTGTAACCTAAAACAGCCCTCTGCACTATCCACGCTCCTGCGCTCCCAACAACAAGTAAGAGAATCTTCTTTTGTCACTCGTATTGAGGCAATTTGATCATCTGCCTCAGCTGCTTCCTTATAATCAAACCACAGAGATTGGGCAGAATTCAGGGCTGTATGACCAGCAATGAAAGTTATTGAATCATTCATTTTATTCTCAATCTGCACACAGGGCCATTAAGTATTCGCTACCACAGAAAGCGGTCAAGTCCAAAACATTGTATGTGATTTCGAGAAGGAATTGGTATAGCACTTGGAGCGAAAAGGGTATCGAAAGATACGGGGAGAATTTCAAGAATAGGAGGCACATTTTTTTAAGGTGAGAGGAGAGAGATTTTAAAAAAGACATGAGCTTTGCATGTGGAATTAACTTCCTGAGGAACTGTTGGATGCGGGTGCAGTTACAACGTTTAAAAGACATTTGGATAAGTACATGGATAGGCAAAGGTTGGAGGGATATGGGCCTGGAGCAGGCAGGTGGGACTAGTTTAGTTTGGGATTATGGTCAGCATGGACTGGTTGGACTGAAGGGTCTGTTTCCGTGCTGTATGGCTGTATTGAATTTGCCAGTCAACCAGGATCATAATGGATTGCAGAGCAGGCTCAAAGGGCTGTATTCTTGCCTGTGTTTTTTCTGACACTATACTTGAACCCTGTGAGAGTAGAAGACAGGTGAAAGCTGGGAGCGGAGAAAGGAAATGATGTGATGTGCTTGGATTTTAGCCAATGGGAGAAGAAGTTATAATGTAGGATATATTTCAAGAATTGTCAATTCTTTACTCAGTGAGGAGTTCTGTAAACCCACTAAACAGATATTAGAAGAGGAGATGCAAATCAGACTTCGTGTCAAGATCTGACAGGTCGCTCAATTCATCAGAAGCTCAATATCATTGACCCCTGAATGTAGGAGAAATGTTTGTCTTCTGTGCGTTAAACATCAGTTTAAGGGAAACCACTGAGGCAAACACGTATACATCCAAGTGAGTTTGGAAAGGGTTTATCCAGTAATGCTGTCTGAAAAATCATCGCACCATTCAAAGCAGGGAACTGTACACACATTTTGAGTGTGAACAAGGCTAATAATCACACAGTACACAGGGGGCCTTTTGGCCCATTGAGTCTGCACTGACAATAAACTACTCTATTTGCACGTTCTCCCTGTGTCCGCCTGAGTTTCCTCTGGGTGTTTTGGTTTCTCCCACAATCCAAAACTATGCAGGTTAAGTGGATTGGCCATGCTAAATTGCCCCATAGTGTCCAGGGATGTGCGGGCTAGGTGGGTTAGCCTTAAGAAATGCAAGGCTGCAGGGATGGGGTGGGTCGGGATGGGATGCTCTTCAGAGGGTTGGTGAGGACTCATTGAGCTGAATAGCCTGCTTCCACACACTGTAGGGGCTTCTATAAAATCTACACTAGCCTCACTTTCCAGCACTTGGCCCATAGCTTTGAATGTTATGACCTTTTGAAGTGCTCACTGAAGTACTTTTTAAAGCTGGTGCAGTTTCCCGCCTCCCAGGCAGTATATTCCAGACCCCTACCACTGTAGAACATAGAACAATGCGGAACAGGAACAGGTCCTTCAGCCCACAATGTTTCTGCTGACCCTGATGCCATTCTAAACTAATCCCATCTGCCTGCATGTGGTCCTTATCTCTCTGTTTCCTGTCTGCTCATCTGTCCATCTAAATGTCTCTTAAAAATTGCTGTCTTATCTGCTTCACCCTCTGGGTGAAAAATACTTTCCTCAAATCCCTTCTAAACCTCCTGTCTTTCACCTTAAAATGATGCCTCCCCTCCCCACACTTTGTTTTTGACCTGCAACTGAGGGGAACATATGCTTTCTTTCCACTCTGTCTACTAGCCTCATAATCTTAAACACCTCAGTCAGGTCTCCTTTCAGCTTTCTCTGCTCTAAAGAAATATCAAGTTTTTCCAGCCTCTCTTAATAGCCAAACTGCTCCATCCCAGGCAATATCCTGGTGAATCTCCTTTGCACCCCCTCCAGTGTACCACATCCTTTCTGTAGTGCAGAGACTGGAACTGCACACAGCACTCCATCTGTGGCCTGACCAAAGTCTTGTACAGACCCAACCTCCCTGCTCTTATGATCTATGCCATTGACAGATAAAGGCAAGCGTCCCATTGCTTCAACTAACTGTAAAATCTTGAGAGACAGACAGACAACTGGAGCACAACATTTGCAATGTGAACACTGTGGTAAAGGATTCATTCAGTCATCCTGGCAGCAAATCCATTGATATATCCTGAGTGGGGAGAAGCCATTCATCTGTTCCGCGTGCAAGAAGGGAATTTGGTCTTTAGGCCCTTCTTCTCACTAGAATGTTCACATACTGAGGAGAAACTATTAAGATGCGCAACCTGGAAACAAAGTTTCAGGTCCTTGTCCATCCTCCCTGAACACCGATGAATTCAACTGAAAACA